AGAAGATTGGATGTAGGGAAAGAATAAATTTTCAGGTAGAAAAAGTTTTCCATCATGGATTTTCACAGTGATATATTTTTAATAAATAGGTTACTTTTCTAGGAGAAAAATGGCACATCAGCCTTATTTTAAAGATAAAATAATTTGCTACCTATTGTCCTTCAAGGGAGCAGTGTGACATAGTCGACTGTAATAGGTATTGAATTTTTGAACATGGCTTCCAATCCTGACTCCCCACCATCAGTCTGTGACTTTGGATGAGTCATTTGAGTTCTGGAACCCTGCTCCTCATTTGGCAGAGTGGAGTTTAAGTAATTGCTACACCTAAATTAGAGAACTGTTAAAAAAGCAAATGTTCTTTTTTTTTTTATCAAATTTGATTTTTTTTTTTTAACCTAGGTGAATTATGTGGGAGAAGGCTTTACCCAATGATTTTCATGAGCTCTGGACCACTGGTGAGGGTGACATTTCATTCCCGTGTGCAAGGTGCTTTTGGCATAAATTATATTGTTTTTAGAGTCCAAGGTATGTTTGGTCATTTAGTAAACTTATAAAGTTAAAAATCAATGTTTTTGTTTTTAGGAATATTTCAAAACTTACACATTGTTTTGTAAGAAAAATTGTTTCTGTGGGGAACGAGTTTATGTTTGAAGGGAAAATCTATTTAAGTGATCTGAGATTGGTCTGGTCCAAGAGGAAAAACTACTCAGTAAATAAGCTGATTGACTTGTAAATCATTCAGAATTGTGATTTCTGGACATGGCTAAGATATGTTGATTGCAAGATAGCATTTTTTATTGTGATTGTGATTTTACACCACACTGATCCTTTTCTGTAGCCATAATTCTTGTGGATTGAAAGATTTGAGTTCTAAATCTTAGCTGGCTGATTAGCTCTGGACAATTTATTATCTCTGTATTAGAGTTTTCTTTATAGTGATATTATAATAATAAAAGGTTAGAATGAGTTGTGAAAACAAACTAAACAAATAGTAGATGCTAGCATTATAAATGTAAACTCATGCAATTCAGAGTTTTCAGACTGCATTTTCAAACATGTCTTTAGTGAGGTTTCTGACTCTTGATGAACGTAGGTAACCAAGAGCTAGTTTCTCTCTTTGGCACTGAAAAGCATTGCAGAGAGACATTTGGAAAAATGTTAAGTGAGTAATAAAGAAAAACATGTATATCATATGAAAGTTTTTTCCTAAAGAACTATGTTATGAATATTGCTTTTAACAAATATCAGATGATATCACACACACACACACACACACATATATATATATATATATATATAGTGGAATCTAAAATATGATACAAATGAACTTATTTACAAAACTGATACAGACTCACAGACATTGAAAACAAACTTGTGGTTACCAAAGGGGAGAGGGGCTTGGGGAGGGATAAATTAGGAGTTTGGGATTAGCAGATACAAGCTGCTATATATAAAACAGATAAACAACAGGGAACTGTATAGCACAGGGAACTATATTCAATGTCCTGTAATAAAACATAATGGAAAAGAATATGAAAAAGAATATATGTGTGTGTATATATATATGTGTGTATGTATATATATATGTGTGTGTATATATATATATATATATTTATATATGTAAAACTGAATCACTTTGCTGTACATCAGAAATTAACACAACATTGTAAATCAATTTTACTTCAATAAAATTTTTTTTCAAAATGAATATTGCTTTTAGATGGAATTGTGCAGGGAACCTGCATTTTCTATAGTTATCACACTTTATCTTCCATAGACCCTAGGCTGTGCCAAAGATAATTTGAGAGAGGTGCTGGTTTTCTGTATCTTTTGAATGTTGCAGATAGAAAATTTTTAGTGAAACTAACTACCTCCTGTTAATTTTTTTCTAAAACAATTAGGGAGGAAAGCTGATAGCTCTGAGCTGAAAAGGCATATAACAAGCCTCTTTAAAATTAGTTTTACCTCAGTCCCTTTTCTTCTTTATTTCTAGGTCCAAAGAGCAGTAAAACTACCAAATTTCTTCAGAGTTCAAACCAAGAGCATGTGACCACTTGTGACGATGTTATTCTTACCAAACCAACAGGAATCATACAAATCCCAAGATATTTTCACAGAACCACTATGAGGTGAGGAAAGAATGTTTACTACAATGGAAGAAGTTTATGGATGATCCCTTGACAAGCAGGGACATTTGTTATTTGCTTAAGGCATTATTTTCCACTTCTTTCCCTTAAAGAATAGACTTTGAGATAATCCCTTATTTGAGGCCTTCAATATATGAAAACTGAATGTAAGATTACATTAATAAATACTGTTGATAAGTTGTACTTTCCTAACAAAAGAGACTATTTATTAGGTAAAGTGGAAAGTCAAATCTCTATCAAAGAGTTTTGGAGATTGAAATAATGTACATAAAAGCTTCTTGCACATAGTAGGTACTCAATAAATGGTTCTTAAAATGCCACAGTGGAGGGGGCTTTCCTGGTGGTGCAGTGGTTGAGAGTCCGCCTGCCGATGCAGGGGACATGGGTTCATGCCCCGGTCCGGGAGGATCCCACATGCTGCGGAGTGGCTGGACCTGTGGGCCATGGCCGCTGGGCCTGTGCATCTGGAGCCTGTGCTCTGCAGCGGGATAGGCCGCAGCGGTGAGAGGTCCGCGTACCGCAAAAAAAAAAAACAAAAAAAGCCACAGTGGAAAGAGAACCTTCCCTGAATTAAACATTAGAATAAATTTAAAATGAGAAACAAAAAAATTGAAGATTCATATAGTATCAATCCTAAGTAAATTTATGTGATTTGGGGAAGTTTGGGACAAGAATACTTCTTTAACTCTTATAGGCTGCCAATCAGAATTTATAAAATACAAGTGATTGACCAACCATTCACCATAACAGGTGAACTTTTGACAAATTCAGTATTAGAAAATATTTTTAATTGTTATAGTTTAAATCTTTCTTTCATCTTAAGCACAGAAGAAGCAGGTAGAGTCAATAACAGTGACTCACTGAGTGATGCATTGAATTATGAACAAAGTAAACAACAACGTATGCTATTTAGAAGTCATTTCTGACTTTCTTTCATCTGTGCTACAGCTGCCACTGGAGATTATTGGCCCCTTCAAATCACATCATTCGCCTTGATACTGTCAACTTCCAGATGCAACCAATGCCCTCGGCCTGTCAGGGTCACCTGTGGGTTTACGAAGGATTTGGATCAGGCAAAAAATTAATAGGTAACTAATTTCCTGTGAAGAACTATCCTATTGATTTTCTTTTACAAAATATTCTTAGAGTGTTTTATATTCAGTGTGTGAATTACAGATGACATAAATTAGTCTCTTATGTGATATTGAAGTAGCCTTACTGTTACTATTTTTTATTGTAATTGAAATTAATGTAACACTCTCTGATTAAGTTAAAAAGGAAACCCAACTATATGCTGTTTACTTGGGTCATACCTAGATTACACTTGCCCAGAAATACTAAAAATAAAGGATAAACAGTCTTAGACAAATGTAATGCAAGAAAATTGAGAATATAATATTAATCAGGCAAAATAATGTTCACAGGAAAGACATTAAATGGGTTTGTCAATTAGATAGTAACTGAAAACCTGATTACAGTGACTTAAATTTATTATTCTGAAAGAAAGAGAAATCCAGAGGGATGCAGATGTACCACCAGCTCAACAGTTCAACTCTGTGAAGAATGGCATTACTGCAATTCTCTTGGCCTTTTCCTAGTGGTTCCATAATGGCTATCTCAGTTGTCACCATTACACTGGAGGAAAAAGGAAGAAGGGGCACAGGGAAGGATTATCACCAAGGAGAAAGCAAATACGTTTCCAGGAATCCTGTAGCAAATTTAAGTCACTTTGGCCAGATTTGTCACATGGCCATACCTAACTGGGAGATGACTAGAGAAAAGGGAAATGGAAACAGGGTTTGGGCTGGCTGACTGATGTTACTCAATATACCCAGATATAGCAGCCTAGAGTTCTGGAATCTGACGGTCCTGCATCCAGTAGTTTACAGTTCTACCACATAGTAATTCGGTGACTTTGGGGATGTTTCCAAAGCTTTCTAAGAATCACTCTCCTCATTTGTGACATGAAGATAATCTACCTGTAACTTTTTGTATGATTTAAAAGAAGACACACTCTGCCATCACTAGCACACACAGATACATGGGCATTAAAAATTCCCAATTTAGGGCTTCCCTGGTGGCGCAGTGGTTGAGAGTCCGCCTGCCGATGCAGGGGACACGGGTTCGTGCCCTGGTCCAGGAAGATCCCACATGCCGTGGAGCGGCTAGGCCTGTGAGCCATGGCCGCTGAGCCTGCGCGTCTGGAGCCTGTGCTCCACAACGGGAGAGGCCACAACAGTGAGAGAAAATTCTCAATTTGCTTAAGTCAGAGATACAGATGCCTAAGGTAACAAGGTGACTCCCAGAGGGAGAGGATGTGTGACATTTTCCTGGCCTTTGACTCTTTAGAAAGGACCCAGTTGCCAGTGTCACTCTCCACGTAGGGAGAGCCCTGCCAGAGTTGATAAAATAGCCAATTGCTAACCCACTGTCCTTTTATTCTTCAGGCTTACATTACCATCCCAGAAGCAGGTGTATTAACAATCTTTGTGTTTCTACTTAAGGGAATGTTAGTAAACATGGAGCTTTCCTGGTTGCCGAGTCAACATAACATCAATAAGGGCTTAGCTTCTTGTGGGGAGACTATAGCATCTAGGCCCAGTATTCTTGGAAATTATCTATGCTTCTTGCCTTACAGAATACCTGTTACTTGTACTGCTTCATGAGATTACTTTGAGAATTAAATGAGAGAATGCATGTTAACCAATATAAAAGAAACCAAGTTTCTGCTGTGTTTGAATTAGAATTATATATTTTAATTCATATTCTTAAAATTGTGGTGCTTAGAAGAAAAGATTAGACTGTTGTTCCCCTATTGCCTCTCCATCAATGGGGTGTTGGAGGACACACAGTTTGGAAGAACAAAGAAATGAAGAAAAATGGAAAACAGTACATTAGTTATATCAGTTATAATTTATAGAATTAATGAACTATATATCTGTTGTTTACTTAGAATTTGTTCTTTACTTAGAATTAGTTCACAAAACATGTATAATATTTCCTATCTTCTTCCACAAAATTTTTATGACTCTATTTCACTTTTTGCACATAAGACTCATAGCCTATAGGGGTTAACTCAATTTTTGAGGTCAATAGGTTACTGAATGAATATTGTTAACATAACCGACTATGCTATATCCCAAGAATGCACGAATAGTTTAATATTGAAAATGTATTATCTATCATAAAACTAGGTCAAATCAGGAAAAATATAGATATAAATTAATGATACAATAATCATATCCTTAAAACCATCCCAGTAAAAATTAGTTAAAAGATATAATGGAAAAATCACTTTAGTCATAATTAACAACAAAAACCATGTAACTAGGAATAACCTTAAAATGAAATGTGAGTTTTATTGTGCAAATGTGAAATTTACACACACACACACACACACACACACACACAGATCTGAATAGAGAAAACACCATGTTCTAAAACTGGAAGACAAAATTAACATTAATTCACCCCAAATTAATTTATAAATATAGCAAAATCTAGCAAAATCCCAATGGGAACTGTTTTTGGAGAGTGAGGAGGAAATTGATAATAACTCTAAAGTTTATCCTTAAAATAAACAGAACTAGCTGAAAATGTTTTTGGGGGAAAAAGTGACCAGATGATGAGGTGAATTATCAGTATTAAAACATACTTTAAAATAATGATAATTAAAACAGGGTAGTACTGGTACAAGAATAGACACAGATGACTAGAAATAAATAGACCAGAAGGGGCACAAGAAACTATAAGGCATTTATATGTGATAAATTTGGCATTACAAATCAGGGAGGAAAATATAAATTATATTCTCTCGCACCTCATAGAACAGTTGATTAAAGAGTTAAGCATTTTTCTTAAGCCACTAAAAGTTTAAAAAATAAGCAATTAGTTAAGGATGGAGAAGGATCTTCTCATGTAAAAGCAATCGAAGACAATAGGAAATTATCAATAAACTCCTTTATAACTAAAAACTTTTCTTCAACAGAAACAAAATTAAAAAGTAAATAACAAACTGAAGATTTTCAACAACTCTGAGAAAGGCTTAAGGTAATTAATGTAGGGAATGTTTACAAATCAGTATTAGAAAAGCCCAAATCTGTAAAATAAAATTAATTTACAGGCCCAAATATCTTTGACTCAGCCTTGAATAAATTTCAGGTTAAAACCAGAGTTCCCAAGGCTTTTGAGTCTTTTGTTCATGTTCCAAAAGAATTACAAACTATTGACCCAAGTGATTTTGAAAACAAAAAGCACTGGATTAACCCTTAACCTCTTTTGATAGATAAGGAAGGTTAATGAATATTTGCATATCAGTTACTATACAATCTAAATTAAATCTCTCCTTATTTTGTCTCTTGTCACAATGAAGTGATCCTCTGGCCATCTGTTTACTAAAAAGGGCAGTTTTCCTATAATAGTGAAAAGCTTAATAGTTCTAGAATTGTTGACTTGAAACTATGTGTGTTATAACTGCTTTTGTTAGAATGTTTGTTTCAGAAAATACCGTGTATGAACAGTTAAACTTAGAAATGGTTTGTCACAGGGAGCAGATTTAAATCATCAACCTTATGATAATAAACCCTGACTCAACAATTGTAAAGCACAGCTATATTCTTTTAGAATTAAGAGGATCCCTAACATAAAACAATTTTTAAATAGTACAATAAGAATTTAATCAATTAATTTTAAAACACAATTCAGAATTATTACTTTCCTAGATATACCTTAATATAAAAATGGGCAAGTGATCTGAATGAGCAATTCATAGATAAATAAATACATGTGAGAAAAAATACTTAGCCTCTTTAAAACGGAAATGAAAAAAATTTTTACCTACTTAACTGACAAAAAAGATTTGAAGAATGATTATACTTAGTAAACAAAATGCAGTATAACAGATATTTTCATGTTGCTGTTTAGGTATAATATGTCGTATGCTTTCTGGAGGAAGATATAGAAATGTTTTTCAAATGCTATAAATCTATAACCTTTTATTCAGCATTTCTATTTTTACCCATATTTATAAAAAATATGCCTTACATTTATGTTTAAGATATTCATTCAGCTGGTGTTATTTATGATAATGGCCAAAAAAAAGGATCTAAATAGGAAATTGGTTAAGAAAAGTATAGTAAATCCATAGGATAAAATATTATGCCACCACTAAATAAAATATTTTCAGCTAACTTTTTTAGAAGACAGAAAACTCTTACATGTAATATTGTAACTGAGCAGGATCCTATAGGGCCTTCCCGGGACAGGCCTTCCCCCCATATTCTGATAAAATATTATGCCACCACTAAATAAAATATTTTCAGCTAACTTTTTTAGAAGACAGAAAACTCTTACATGTAATATTGTAACTGAGCAGGATCCTATAGGGCCTTCCCGGGACAGGCCTTCCCCCCATATTCTGCAAATTTCCTGAGTTGTTTTAGATGTGGACCACCAACACTCCCCCCCATCCCACCCCACCCCGCCCCACGACCCCACCCCACCAAATGGAAGATGTTAACTACTTGATGACCATGAGCACAGAGCCCCAGGCCTCCTGGAGCCTAAGGACTCGTAATGTTACCCCCTGTGACGCCATCCTGCTGCCTCACCATCAGCCAGTCAGAGAATTGTGCACAAGCTGATCACATACCCTGCGACACGCCCCGCCCCCCCTCACCTGGCCTTAAGAAATGCTTTGCCGAAACCCTTCGGGGGCTCGAGGCTTTTTAGGGCGTGAGCCACCTCTCTCTTTGCTTGGCCCTGCAATAAACCTTTCTCTGCTCCAAACTCTGACGTTTCGGTTTGTCTGGCCTCACTGTGCATCAGGCACAAGAAACTTGCATTAACACTTGGACTCCAATCATGTTTCAACGGACTGTTACAATAAAGCGAGTCTAGTCTATCAAAATGGTATTCACTTATTTATATGCCTCCTCATCCTCTTTCATAAAGGTTTTGAGATGATTTGCAGAAATCGTAGTAAATTAAATTAAAATATTAAAATTAAAATGTAAAACTCAGGTTCAGTTCTGGTATAAAGCGGCATTGGAGGTCAGGACTGGTGTGAATGGTGACATTTAATAGGAAAAAATATAAAGTTCTGTCCTCCATCTAGAAAGAGAAAGCCCAGGTATAGGATGTGAGCAATGTGGTTCAGCAACGTCTCAGATAAAAAAGAAACTGTAATGAATGGTAAGCTCAGTCTGAGTAAAGAGTGGCATACGGTGGCTGGAAGAATTAAAAAGAACGCTGCCCCTAGGGTATAGTTACAGATGGAAATGTTTCTAAAAAAGGAAGGGATGGTCCCACACTGCCCCACTCTTGTTAAGACCACTCCTGGAACATTCAGCTCAGTTCTGAAAGTCACACTTTGAAAAAGTCATTGGCAAACTGGATACATTCCAAAGAGAGTAATCTGGAGCGTGAAAGATCATGAAACACAGAAGTGGGCTATGTGCTGGCCCGTGTGTGAGGTACCAAAGGGACAAAGTCATAGAAGACATGGTCTTGTCCTTCAGAAACTTACAGCCCATGAGAAAATCAGATACGTAAGCCACAGAAAGAAAGAAGGCTAAATCAGGCTGTGGAATCTTGGAAGAAATCATGAAATATTTGGACTGGATGACGTCCGGCACTCAACACTCCCAGCAGCTGGGGAAAGGAGTGCCTCCGTGTTAAAGGGAGAATCCAAGGGGTACATCTCCGATGTACTACATGTATCAAAAAAACCTGACTACAGAGGCTTCAACAAATAAGATGTATTTTGCTTGCACCACAAGAAAAGAGGAGGTAGGCAAATATCAGGCCAAGAATGTCAGCCCCTTAGACTCTGTGATTCTCTTGGCCCTTCCCTCATGGTTACAAAGTGGTTGCTACTGCTCTTGCCTTCATGTCTGCATTCCAGCAGGAGAGGGCTGCAAAAAAAAAAAAAAAAAAAAAATTCCATTTACACCAGCTAGTGGTTTTGACTTTCATGCCAGTTACTGTACCTTGCCTCTTATTCATTTGGCTGTGCTGTGGATAAATGAAGGTTGTATGTAGCTAAGGCTCAAATATACTCCCTTATATATAGTTATTTCAGTTGAGTGACAAAAATATTTTTTTAGTTCCCTGATGACCTAGCTAGACTGAAACCAGCCTCTGTACCTCGAGACCAAATTAAATCTTGGAGACAGTTTTGGGTGAGGTAGAAAAGAATAGCTTTATTGCTTTGCCAGGCAAAGGGGGTCACAGTGGGCTAATGCCCTCAAAACCGTGTGTCCCCACTTGGAGAGGGTAGTGAGAAGTTTTATAGTAATGGTTCAAAGAGGGCGTGATCAGCTTGTGGACATTCTTCTGATTGGTTGGTGGTGAGGTAAGTAGGAGTCAGCATCATCAACCTTCAGGTTCCAACTAGTCTGGGGCCTATGTGCTTGTGAGCAGCATACCATGGTTAATTGTTAACTTCTCCCACCTGGAGGAGGTTTCAGTATCTGCAGAACAGCTCAAAGATATTGCTGTGGGTATCCGTTGATGGGGAGACAGGACCTTGCCCCAGCCAGGCTGTACTATTGTTTCTCTTGACTGTTTGTTTCTCCCTGATCTCGCATCCGCTCCCTTCCCTCATTAGCAACTGCTTGAATCTGCCCTTTGAAACTCAGGGAAGGTCATGGAGGCTGAATGGAGGCTGTTCCTGTAATTCAGGAAACGGGGACACAGAAAGCCTTTGTGCTCAGGAGCCCCACAGGGCCCTGCTCGGTATCAACCATGTTACCTTCTTTTATATTATACGGCTTTAAAAAGACCTAAGTATTTCAGACAGTATAAGAACTGGATACAGTGTCCTAGTTGGTTTGGAACCACTTTCTTAGAACTGCTTACACTCAAGAATCTGGAACATCTCTCTATTCTAATTAGGTTTTATTTTGCTTAATTTTCCCATTTTTATATTGTTGGTAGGGGATACAGTATAAATTTGTATTAAAAATAGGATTTTTTCCCTTTCACTTTGCTCAATAACTTTGCCTTGATGAATAGTAAAAATTTATTTTATTTTATTCTTTTTGTCTAGGAAATCTATGTGAAGGAGATTCACCTTCATTAAAATCTCATGGTCCTCTTATGATGTTGATTTTCACATACAATGTCAGTTTGGCCATGGAAAAATTTTCTTTGAGATATTCTTTTCATATGTCTGGTAAGTCTATTACTTTTTTCATATTTGTTTTTGTGTATGTTTGTTTTATTGTGCTTTATTAGAAAATATGTGTTATCAAATAAAGAGATTTGAATTCTTTATTTCATTTGTCAGCTATAGGGGAGAAGAAAAAAACAATATTTAAGATTGTGATTTAAGATTGTGACCTCTGTGGAGGTCTCAAGCTAAACCTCCTTAAGGCATAAGATTGATCAGATTTTTCATTTTTTCTTATATCAACTAATAATTTTGTCTAGTTTTCTGTATACTTGGAATATTGTAAAAATACAGTAGGAAATTTTTATCCCTAGCCTAAAATTTCAAGTAATTTTTCTATTTTGAAATTCATTTCCTTAATGTACTAATATCAAGAGTAATTGATTCTTTTTTTAAAACTTGTTTGGTGGATAGTTCATATATATTAGTTGTAACCAGATTATTGAAAAATATGCTTTGCCCAACATTCCTATAGTTTTGGTGAAGGCGTAGACAGCATTATGAAAATTGGAACTTTTGCAAATTATGGAAATTGGGTATCATGGAAAAAGCATTTGCAATTATGCTTAATTCTGAATAGTTATTAGAATTGCTCTAGTCCTTAAGATTAATCAATTCATACTCATTAAAATTGTTAATTGGAATACAATTGTAGAAATATTTCTACAAAAAACATTATATTTTTTAGTCTGATAATGTGAGAAATGTTGTATGGAGAACACAAAGAAGATTTGCATCAAGTTCAAATTATGTAAGTGAAAGTATACCGTAAGGGGCTAACATAAAATAGAATAAAATCTTACATTTAAGCCTTTAATTATTCAGACTATCAACAAATTGTTTTAAACTTATGCCAGGCCATGTTTAAAGCACTGAGGATTCACCAATGAACAAGACAGTCCCTGCCCTAGAAGACTTTACAGTCTAGTGGGGGAGATAGTCAGTAATCTGTAAACAGAGGACAGAGATTGTTGCTTATCACCCAGTTCTGCCATGATTAAGCCACTGCAGTAGCTGATGGACAGTGTACTCTGTGCTTCAGAGGGAAGAAACTAAGGTGATAACAGGATGCTCTGTGCTTTGGAAAAGCAGGCCCCTTGCATAGTTAGATGTATATCTCAGGAAGAATTTTAATGAACCCAGATTTTGCATTTTCCCATACACAGAAAAGCACTAAAATCATTAACTTCAGATCTCTGTTCTTTGTGACTAGCAGTAGTGTTTTATCAAGACATGTGCTTGACTGCACATATACCCTAGCCAAAATCACATTTAAGCTGGCTTCTCCCCCTACCTCTTCGGAACAGCTTCCTCAGAGCTACTGAGTGGTTGTCCTCAGTAAGACCCTGAGTAAAACAAACTCATAGCTCTTAGGTTGTGCATTTTTCTTTCAGTCAACTAATCAAATAATCTCATAGAAAAATATAGAGTGAAAAAACAACTATATTAAGTTTTGAAGAAGGTATCTTATTCAGTTCGGTAAAGGATGGGCGTGGAATTCTAGGAAAACTTTAATTTCTTTGTTCTCTTACAGCAAAACACGTTTGTTTTTGTTTTTGTTTTTTTTTTGCGGTACGTGGGTCTCTTACTGTTGTGGCCTCTGCCGTTTCGGAGCACAGGCTCCGGACGTGCAGGCTCAGCGGCCATGGCTCACGGGCCCAGCCGCTCCTTTTTTTTTTTTTTTTTTGCGGTACGCGGGCCTCTTACTGTTGTGGCCTCTGCCGTTTCGGAGCACAGGCTCCGGACGTGCAGGCTCAGCGGCCATGGCTCACGGGCCCAGCCGCTCCACGGCATGTGGGATCTTCCCGGACCGGGGCACGAACCCGTGTCCCCTGCATTGGCAGGCAGACCCTCAACCACTGCGCCACCAGGGAAGCCCAGCAAAATACCTTGAAATGTATTTCTACTCACTGTCTACCCTTTTACCCTTTCATTTTTTCTTGAATCCATTCCCATAAGGCTTTCTTTCTTACCATTCCCCAGACGGTGTTCTTGCCAAAGCTACCAGTGACCTCCAGAGGTTCAGATCCAACAGTCACTTCTCAGTCCTAATAGCTGCATTCGGCACGGATAAGCTCTTCTTCCTTCTGGAGTTTCATTTGTTATGGCCTCCAGGAAACCACTGTTTCTTGGCTATCCTCTTACTTCACTGGTCTCCTTGGAGTCTCTTGGCTGGTTGCACCTCCTTTTCTCTACTATTAAAAGTTGAGGTGTCCCAGGACCCAGTCCTTGACTTTCTTTTCTTCTCTACCTGTAGTCACTCTTAAATGATCTCACCCAATCCCTAGTTTTAAATACCGTCTTTACACAGATAACTCCCAAAGTATATCTCCATTCCCAACTTCTTTTTTTTTTTTTTTTTTGCGGTTCGTGGGCCTCTCACTGTTGTGGCCTCTCCCGTTGCGGAGCACAGGCTCCAGACGCGCAGGCTCAGCGGCCATGACTCACAGGCCCAGCCGCTCCGTGGCATGTGGGATCCTCCCGGACTGGGGCACGAACCCGCGTCCCCTGCATTGGCAGGCGGACTCTCAACCACTGCGCCACCAGGGAAGCCCCCAACTTCTTTTCTGAACTACAGTGCTATCTATCCAATTGCCTCCCTCTTCATTTGGATATCTAATAAGCATCTCAAACTTAACATGACCAGAATTCAAGTCTTGATTTCCTACCCCTGTCTCCAAATTCTTCCTCCACCAATCTTCCCCACCTCAGTAGATGGCAACTACAGTTTAATAATTAATTGCTCAAGCCATTATCTTGGTCATCCTTGACTTTTCTTCTCACATCTCTCATTGGATTTAGTTAATCTGTGGGCCTTCAGCAAAACTTATCTGGAATCCAACTACCTCTCAACGTCACTATGACATTCTGATACAAGCCTTTTTTTAGTCTGTTTTACTCATAACAGCCAGAATAATCATTTTAAAAAGAATAATTCAGATCCTGTTACTCCTCTGCTTATAATCTTTCAATGTTTTCCCTGCTCACTCTTAGTAAAAGTCCTTACAGTGACCTATAAGATTCTATATGATCTGGCTCTTGGCTACCTCCTTGACTACTACTCCTGCCATTTTCCCCAGCGCTCACTCTACACCATCCTTCCCGTTGTTCCCCAGACACACCAAGCATGCCCCACGGCTGTTATCTCCAAAATGTACAACATGCCTAGCAAATAGATGATGTTCAAGAATTGTTTGAATAAAGGAAATGACATTCTAGCTGGGGTAGATTAGTGAGTAGAGAGTAAGGAGGTAGCTCCCTATCTAATAAGTGGGTAAGAAATACATCTGTTTTGCTTATAGAAATCCCTTTGGCTTAGAGCTAAAAGATGAATAGAAGTCAACTCAGAAGACTTCGTACACATGTTCAATTTCTGTTTTCAGATAAACATAGAAAAGCTTTAGTGCAGACGTTTTTCTAACAACAGCAGAAATGTAACAGATTTACCCCATGTGTGAGGTTTGTTAAAGATCTGACTCATCATTCATATTCTTGAGATTACAAATTAAAATATTTCAGTAGAAATTGTTATATCTATGTGAGTAAAATATATAAAACTATTAAAATGTATGTGCAATATTTAGTAGTATGGAAAAATATTCACAATTGGGGGGGTAGGGGAGGTTACAATGGTGTAAAATGAAATACAATTAAAAAATGTATATACTATAGCTTAGGAAAAAGCAGAAGTTACATTAAAATATGAGTATTGGTTATAGGATGGGACTACAGGAGACTTTTATTTTCTCCTTTGAAATCTGTTTTTTTTTTTTTTGAAATTTTCTGCAATGTAAATGTATCACTTAAACAAAAGAATAAAATATAAAGTATTAAATAGGATATATTGACCTTGAATATTCTCTTATTCTAGATTCTGTGAAAGGAAAAATTAATGGTAAAGAGGATAAAGGAGGTAAGGAATTGGCTTCATTGTCTTGGCTTTGTTTACCTGATATTATGGAAATAAGAGTGAAGAATATCTTTGCTGCTAAACACTGTTTAGGAGGAAGTATACTCTGGCTGCTATCAAAAACTTTCAAGTGTTGTGTCCTTATTCTATTTGCTTTATAGTGAGATATGAACTTGTACTAGTTTTCTGAGTGTCAAACTTTGGGGGTGGTGGAGACCTGGGTCAGATCACGGAGTAGAGAGGAACAAGGTAGTGCCCTATCTAATTAATGGGTAAGAAACACGTTTTGTTTATGGGAGTTTCCCTAACTATTTTAATTCTATTATCCATTAACATTCTTTCCATATATTTTATGTCTTTTGGATTGTGCATGTATCTCTCTCTCCTTTTCTGTTTTGGCTGTGCCATTGCATAGTGAAACCAAAATGATAAGATTATTGATGAAGTAAATGTTTTTGGATAACATTAACTTTAGGTTGGGTAATACCTAGAGCATTTGGAGTAAACCCAAAATGTCACTGAATTCCTCAATTCTCTTTTTGGTGTAGTAGCCCCTTGGCCCTTTTGAACCTTCAGATCCTGTTTTCAACTATCTGAGAGTAATCCAAATTTCCCTGTCAAATAAATGATTGTAATTTGAAGTGTAGGCTGAATTTTAGGAGTGTTTAATTTACTCGGGGATTTAGAAGATTGTGTGCTAAAAATGAGCAACAAAACTACATTGAGGGCTTCCCTGGTGGCGCAGTGGTTGAGAGTCCGCCTGCCGATACAGGGGACACGGGTTTGTGCCCCGGTCCAGGAGGATCCCACATGCCGCGGAGTGGCTGGGCCCATGAGCCATGGTCACTGAGCCTGTGCCTCCAGAGCCTGTGCTCCGCAACGGGAGAGGCCACAACAGTGAGAGGCCCGCGTACCACCCCCCCCAAAAAAAAACTACATTGAAATGTAGATATGGTTGACTTAGTGGTTCACAGTTTGTGAGTTAAAGTCAACAAACTTTAACCTGTCTTCTTTTGGGAGGTGTCAGTTTTTCAAAACAAGTCATTTAAACCCTGTGTCACCATACATAAGAAGCTATGGAAGCAAAAAAAATAGTGATAGAACTTTATAAAAGTACACTACAGTTTAGGTTTTAATGACCTAGTTGTAGACATTAAAACCAGATCCTTCATTATTGTATTAAATGTTTTTTTTTCTTTTTGCCTCAAGGATGTCCAGTATTGGATTTGATTCCAGTTAGTTCTACTGAGATCACATCTCCCAATTACCCTAACATTTATCCTAACATGCTGAACTGCACTTGGACTTTTTATTCTATGTCAGGAAATAAAATGAAAGCAGTGATTAAAGGCTTTATAACAGAAGAATCTTGGAACTGTGAATGGGATTACTTTAATATTTATGACGGACCAGATCAGCAATCAAGATTACTTGGTAAACTGAACTTTCTTAAATGTCCTGCACTGAGTGGCATTCATATAAGCATTTATATAATCATATATATGGAAACCATGACCTATATTTGCCTTTTAGAATGATATCACTTGTTGTCAGTGATTCTCCATCAGATCCTTCATCAGAATCCTGAGTATTACTGAACACAATGGGATGAGCATGAGGCCGTACTCACTGGATCTTGACCTTTAACTCCAGCTCTTTTTGATTTCATCCAGTGATTCCTATCTCATTTTACCATTAGGGAACACACTAATTTTGTTTTTCTCAGGAGTTCATATGTTTTAAGAGGTTTTATTTCCTAAACTTCATTTTTAGGTAACTTTTTGAAATTTGTTTACTCAGGTTTCATCCTCACAGTAAAGGTGGTTAGACCCAGCGTAAATTATTAAAAGGTAAAGGTCAATTAACTTGAAAAATCTTTGGAGATTTATTGACCACATGGTGTCTACCATGTTTGGATGTCAGGCAATATCCTGTTCTAAGACTGACTCATAGAGGGAACTTTTCCAAAGATTTTGTAATTCAATATTGTATCACCTTCTCCAATCTCCAACCAGTTCTGCCAATCAGGACACAATTACAATCCACCTATCACAAAGGGCAAGAGGAGAGGTTTTTTGTGTTTTTTTTTAAATTTTTATAAATTTATTTATTTATTTAATTTTTGGCTGTGTTGGGTCTTCGTTGCTGTGCGGGGGCTTTTCTCTAGTTGCAGCGAGCGGGGCTACTCTTTGTTGTGGTGTATGGGCTTCTCATTGCGGTGGCTTCTCCCATTGCGGAGCACGGGCTCTAGGCACGCAAGCTTCAGTAGTTGTGGCATGCGGGCTCAGTAGTTGTGGCTCATGGGCTCTAGGGTGCAGGCTCAGTAGTTGCAGTGCAAGGGTTAGTTGATCCATGTGGGATCTTACTGGACCAGGGCTCAAACCCGTGTCCCCTGCATTGGCAGGTGGACTCTTAACCACTGTGCCACCACGGAAGCCCCAAGAGGAGAGTTTTTTTGTTTGTTTGTTTGTTTGTTTTTGTGGTATGTGTGCCTCTCACTGTTGTGGCCTCTCCCGTTGCGGAGCACAGGCTCCGGACGCGCAGGCTCAGAGGCCATGGCTCACGGGCCCAGCCGCTCGCCTCTCACTGCTGTGGCCTCTCCCGTTGCGGAGCACAGGCTCCGGACGTGCAGGCTCAGAGGCCATGGCTCACGGGCCCAGCCGCTCCGCTCTCACTGCTGTGGCCTCTCCCGTTGCGGAGCACAGGCTCCGGACGCACAGGCTCAGCGGCCATGGCTCACGGGCCCAGCCGCTCCGCGGCATGTGGGATCTTCCCGGACCGGGGCACAAACCCGTGTCCCCTGCATCGGCAGGCGGACTCTCAACCACTGCGCCACCAGGGAAGCCCCAAGAGGAGAGTTTTGATGCTATCTTCTTCCAGGGACCTTAACCACTCCTATGATATTCTAGGATTTATAACTCCAGTAAGTTCAGCAATGTGCTTTGAAATTCCAAAGTTATCTAAAGTTTTTCTTATCAACGAGTTTGGTTCCTGCCAAGGATTCTAAAGCAATTGAGAGTATGGAGGCGGAGGAGATACAAAATATCAAGCTATCAGTTCTCCATAAGATTAATATGAGGTGTCTATAGCATCCAACCGTACAACCCTAACTCTTGTGAATGCCTTTCAACCAGAGACCCTTGGAACATACCTGGAGTTGAACAAGTTAGATTTATTACTCATTGTGGAGAGGGAAAACACATATCCTGGAAAACCATGGGTTGTTAAAAGGGTAGTAGAGAGAACCTATTACAGTACTTAGGCTTTGGCTGGGTAATTTTGGAGAAGGTCTAGGGAAGTGGACTTTGCTCTAGATTGCTTGCAGGAAGTGGGGCAATTTTATGATTGGGTATATCAATCAGAGGGAGCCCTGACTAGAGTAAGGATAAAACTGTAATTGGTAAAGAAGTAGCAAGCTCTCATTTCAGCCATGAGAGGTCAATGTTTGATATTTTTGTTGGTTACAGATGACCTTGGTTTTGTATCATTTTATCATAGATTCAGAGTCTTGTCTGATGTTGATGTCCTGTGAGATTGTTTATGTCCAACAGGAGAACACAGTCCAGCTGTGAGTGTCGGACCAGTTCTTGGATGTCAGGGCTGCATTTCTCTTTCTCACTCTTTAGTATTCCTCAACCTGACAACATTATTCCTCTTTAAAAGTTCTGAATAATCAAAAATTCATGGGTGGCAAAAGATTACAAATGAGACAACTAATATTTCTATAATTAGCTTATACAATTCTATATAAAAGTGAGGACACTATCACTAGTTTGCTAGTTTATACAGTTTTATTTCATATACTTTTACGTACTTACATAGTTTCAGTTCAGTGAAATATGCAATTTCTATAAACATTGTTAAATTGTTGAACACTGAGCCCCATTGCTACTCTCCCAGCTAGTTAGAAGGGCTAGCCCATATGTGGAACCACATTGTCTATATTGTCTTAGTTATCTTTTCTTACTAAATCTTTTTGCTCACCTAAATAGAATTTATCAGTTTTTAGCTAGTTTTTAATTATTTCTGTGAATGTAAATGGAGTGGTACACAGCCTCCAAGTTGTCTTCATGGTAATGATTTTATAATATTTTAATGAAAAGAACTTAGCAAAATTAAGGTTCATCTGGTCTTCCTTCTTCCATTTACCCCATGAAGGTAAGACATCAGTAACTAGTAAACACCATATTAAACGTACAGGTTAAATTCATTCATGACTGAGCATTTTCTAATGTGATAGGCACCTTGAAGAAACAATGGTAAACAATTCAGAAATGATCACTGCCACCTTCTTTTGGGAAGACAGATGATAAAGAAGAAAACTAGTAACAGTATTTAACAATAAATAATAATCAAATACTTATTGATTGTCAATGTAATCTGAAGGAAATAAGTTGCAGCAGAAGTATGGAATAATAGTGGGTAAACAGTTGCTTTAGTTCACATGGTCACAGAAGATCCAAAGAATGAAAAGGAAACAGCCAGGCAAGGCCAGAATAGCAGGTGCAAAGGTGTCTAGTACCTATCTGACCTTACCTCCTACCATTCTCCCTCTCCTTCACCCAAAACCAGGCACACTGGCTTCTTTATTCTTCCTCAGACTAACCGACCATATTCCTGCTTGGCCCCAAGATGATTTCAAGGTTCACTTCCTCAGTTCATTCAGGTGTCTGTTCAAATGTTACCTAATCTAAGGCCTCTTCTATCACACAATCTAAATAACCCTCCTCCACTTTTCCTTCTTGGCATTTATCATGACCTGGCAGTGTATATATCAATATTTATTTGTTTAGAATCTGTTTCCCTAC